CCTTTGATTTTTCCACGAAGGATTCAATGGGCTTCTCGTGTCTCCGGACATTTGACAAGTGCACAAGGGGACAACATGGTGAGTGCGGAACATCCCGCGACACCCCTTTGACAAGTGCAAAAAGGGACAACATGGTGAGTGCGGAACATCCCGCGACACCCCCAGTGGAACCTCCCACTGCAGTACATTAGAGCGGGTGGGTGGGACAAAAACTTTTCTCACCTTGAGCACACACTGCATGTTGGAACCTGTTGTCAAGCCACTCAAACATGACTGTCACGCAGAAACAACATGCATTAGCAGAAAAATTCACTCATGATTTTCATGCGTGGGAAAACAAAACTTTGCCCTTGATTTTAAGACCTCCTTAAAATCACCTCCCATGGGAAAAATAATGCCCTGCGCAGGCAGGCTGCGATGGTGTCTTATTTTTCTTTCCAAGGGAGGCCGGGCAAACTGTAACCATCAGAAAAATATTCAAGTCCAACTATTTCAAAACAGACTTGAATATATTCACTCAAACTTCTCAACTCAAATAGTCAATCATATATTCAATGACTCAATCACACACAGCTTGCCGACCTTTGATTTTTCCACGAAGGATTCGATGGGCTTCTCGTGTCTCCGGACATTTGACAAGTGCACAAAGGGACAACATGGTGAGTGCGGAACATCCCGCGACACCCCCTGCACACCTTTGGAGCACTCACCCAAAGAACCCTGGCAAAGCTTCCTTGAGCAGGCGTGAACATACCTTAACCTCTGGCACACCTTCTATTGCATCTCCACGTGACGGAGCATCTTTTTTTTCATTCAAACGCATCAACTGAGTCAGTTGTCTAGCGGGCGATGTGAACCTTGTCACCCCTCAGATTGAGGGTTCACCGGTGAGGCAGATGCTATATTGTGCTCCTAGGAGCCCGACAACATAGCATGAGGCTGCCTTTGCAGCCGCGGAGCTGTGCCCCGAGGAGCCCGACAGCTATTGGTGTCATGGCTGGGAGTATAGGAAAAACAGGAGCTGTACAGTAGCATAGTAGATACAAACAAAAAGAGGTCAGCAGTAGAGGCATTGGTTTGCCTTTGGCGTGAAGAGACCTCATACGCCTGTGTTCAGAGATGGAATTAAAAATTGAGTAAGAGTACAACACTGGGACATCATCAGCAGCGTGAGGAAACCTCGGGCGCTGCAGTTTAAAAGGATGTCAGCCGTGTGTTCGTATGCACCACGCAGGACTGGACTCAAGCACTCAGTCACGGAGGCGTTTGGCTACCCTGGGCTTTTGCGTGCACGAAGTGGGCTCCTCACACTCTCGCTCCGACTCCGAGTCTGGAGTGCCAAGGAGGTGCGAGATGTGATCCCGGAGCAGGATGGAAACCTCAAGGTCTTTACGGACAGTGTGTAGGAGAGCCTTGGTGAGGTCGTTTTCATACAACGACCCATCGAGCACATCTTTCCATAGAGCCCTTACACGGTATGAGATGGCCCCGGGTGCTAGGCCCTGCTTCCGATAGAAGCGGCGTAGCGACAAATCCAGGGTAGTCTTATACCGCTGTAGTCTTTTCTCAGTGAGAGCCACTGGCGCAGTGTCTGGACAATCGGCTGCCTCAGGCGTCAGGGCATCAGGCCGAATGAAGGAGTAGGTGGCCATGGCTTTGTGGCTGAGTGCGATGGTCCTGTGCATTAATTTGAAATGTAAGCAGAGTGTCTCTGATGAACCAGCTGATGGTACTCAGTCACTTACGCCTCTTGGGTGCCCTGGGCCCATGTGGGCTTTCGGCTGCTTTGGAACGCTCATCCTCAGACTCTGAATCCGAAGTAGAGAGAATGTGTAAAATCTCGTCTTGGAAGCGTTTGTACGCCTCAGGATCCTTTCGGACTTTGCGCATCAACGTAAGGGTGAGATCGTTCTCAGAGAGTGAACCCTCACGCAGCTCTTGCCAAAGAGTCCTAACACGGTGCGAGACAGCGCCTGGGGCGAGCCCCTGCTCCGAAAAGAAGTGACGGAGTGGAAGATCCAGGGCAGTTTTATACCGCTGAAACCTCCTCTTGGTGACAACGGCCGGTTCAGTAGCCGCTTCATGCAATGATGCACCCACTGTGTCAGCTGGCCTACTGGAGGAGGAGGCAGCCATGGCTTGGCAACTGAATGTGTGTGCGCCCAAACGTACAGATTAGAAATGCCAAAGCTACTACTAGCAGAGGCCGCAGTTTTGGCAGGTGGCAGTTCAAATCGTCGGAAAGCAGTTTGAAAGCGAACCAGCAAACAAAAGAATTCCGATCATGAGGAGAACCGGTGAGGGGTTGAATCAGGAGGACACTGCTCGAAAATTTCTGGGGAGCTCTTGCAGCAAGGCAGAGCGGTTCATCACTACAGTTGTGAACTACACAGCTCAACTAGAATGTCATGCATGTTCATCAGTGATACTGGGAGCGGAGCGCCGCAAATTCCCAAGTACCTCTGTAGTATCACTCACGTCTGTACGCCAGAAGGTAGCAGTTAGTGCTGATTGCTTGGCGGGTCGCTGCGGTTCCAGGCTGCGCAGCTTGACCATCATCATGCAGCATGTGTGTCGGCCATAAATCTTGGCTGTCACCTGGGAAGTAAAATGCCTGATAGTGGCCTGCAGTTACGACTTGTCCAACATGCAGAACTCCACCACACAGAGAATAATCAACATGTGTGATGTTGCCTGCGTGATCGGAGAAAGCCGGCACATTTATCCTCCGCTGTAGTTGCAAAGTCTGTCTGGACTTCTTGACTCCGCGATCAGTTTGGATAAAGCGGCCGACCTGTAGGATCAGGATGTGGGGCAAGTGAGTGAAGGCATGCATGGTTGCCTGAGCGTGCCATTGGTCCACTGCCTCCTGGACTTGAAAGGGTCGGCTTAGCTGCAGCCTGATATGAGGGCAAGTGAATTGCTCATCAGTGACTTCATACGCCTCCATGTCATGTCTCCTGGCTTCCCATCCGCCCCTAAGGGCAACGCATTCCGTCTTTTGGCAAAGATGCTGCAGAAACTCAGCTGCGTCATGTTGTCGAGTAGGGCGATGCCAACCCTGCCATATGAGTGACCATGCTGAGTCCCGGACCAGGTTTGTGGCTCTGTCCAGCCTGGTGGCTGTCATGAGGAGCCCATTGAGTTCTCCCAGCCCTGTGAGCGGGCCGTCCTGAGCTTTGGCAAAGTGCAACATGTGCAGAACAGCATTAGCATAGCAGATGTTATTGGGATTGGTGAATACCAGCGCCTTGGCATGTGCGTTTTCATCTCTGTCTCTTCTAACGCACCATGAAAGCAAACTACCATTTCTCTGCCGACCCCGCATTCTAGTTGTAGCCTGAGATGCTTGTGCATCTGGTTGGGAATGCGGAGTCCGCGTATCCCCATCCTTGTCCCCGTGATTGCCACTAGAGATCTTCCCTGATCTCAGTGGGTCGTTGCTACTCTGATCCATTGCCGTGACCTTGCGCCGATGTTTCCCTTTAGAGGTGGGATTAGCAAGAGTAGGCCAGTGGGTGGAGGGGTTTGGGACATCGGCAATGGATAACTCAACCCTAGAGGTGCTCTGTACATGGCTCACGTCAGCAGCATCCGTATGGCAAGGGGCAGGGAGTGCAATGTCCTGCCGTTCCTGTGGAAGTGTGGCTTCATGGCGAAGCGGAGACCACATTTCGCCTGACCTGTGATCTAGAGCTGCATTTTTTCCAGCTCCTTTGCCAGGTTGGTCTTGCCGACACGTTCCCTTCGGAGGCGAAGACCAATGACCTTCCCTGCACAGCTGTTCTCGAGCAGGTCCAGGTCCCGGTAGACTTCCGTGGCCTGATGATGGATAGTCAGCGTGAGAAGCATGACGACCACTTCTGCTTGAAGGTCCGGCCTGAGAGGCTTGAGGCTCTGAAATCTGTGTACCACACCGGTCTTCGCCGTGTTCTATAGCAGGTTTGCCACTGCTTGTTTGGCCTGATCGTGTGGAAGGTTGTCCTTGCTGGCCGGTAGAGCTTTCTTCTGTTCTGCATTCCACTCCGTAAGCCCACTGGAGCGGAGTCCGCGCTATCCAGTTGGCTGTTTCTGCTGTCTGCAGGGCCGCGGCATCTGACTCGATTTTTTGCAATCTGGCTTGCCACTCCATGAGCATGACCCCCCACAGCGTTGCTCGCAGGGACGTCTTGACCGTGCCGGCCTCGTACTGTTGACGCCACGTCTGGCTGGCTTGGATCATCATGTCGATCATGCCGTGGTTGCCGGTCTCCAGGAAGATGACGTAGCTCCGATCGGCTTCCAAAGATGTGAGCTGTTGCTCGTGGCGCGACGCTGCTCTGACCAGCACCCGAAGGATGCTGCGTAGCGTGTCCTCGTCTAGGTTGTCTGTGTCCATCACGAGCTCCTCGTCCTCCTGATCTCTTGCTCGTTTGGACTGTTGTGTCTGCTTGCCCTTGCCTTGGCCCTTTCTGAATTTGTTCGGTTGCTGTGTAGTTGCTTTGGGCCTTCCCGCCGCGTTCTGCCTCTGAGGCGTCGGTAATGTCGCTGCCAGCGGTGAGCTTAGCCTCCACACTGTGGCCAGCTGCTGTTCCGGTGTGGTCTCCATTGGAGTCGCGGCTGTAGTCATGTCTGAGGCAAAGCTGAAGCAGGGGCAGACACTTCTTTCTGTGCTCTCGAGCCGATTTTTGGAAATGAACCTGACACCAAGGGCATGGCCTACTCACATGCGCCATCAAGAGGGTGTTGGAGTCCAGAAGACTACTAAGTGCTACACTCTGGCGCTCATGCTTAGCCTTGATGTGCCTTCTCCAGGCTTGGATGTCCTGCAGGGTTTCACCACACGTAAGACAGGTGGTTTTGGCCACGACAGCCATGTCCTGGAGAGGGGCTCTGTCTCCTGGCTCAAGAGCGTTCAAGCAAGTGGCTATGTTGGTGACAGGGCAAGGCATCGGCCAGGTATCGGTGAGTGGCGTCTGGGGCACAGCGGAGTCCGCATTTTGCCTAACACTTTCAAGCACAAGCTGAAAGAGAACAGGACATTGCGAACTATGTCGATCCGTGCCATGCACTTTTCTGCCACACCAAGGGCATGGCTGATTTCTAGTGAGCAAATACTTGAATGCCGAGCAGGCCTTGTGAAATTCTGCCGTGAGATGTGAGGCAAGGTTTTTATGTACCCTCAGAATGTGTGTTTTGATCATACCTGCGTCAGCAATCCATCTGCCGCAGTAGCCACAGTGTTCTGTGAGGTGGGCTTTGTGAATGCCAGCCTGCGTGATGATGCCCTCCGTGTTTTGCAGGTGTTGTCGGACCACAGTCTGCAAAAGCAGAGGTTCGTTGTTATCCACTGTGTCTGGATCTTGCCTCCCTTGATGCGAAGACGGATTATGGCTACTCTGTACCTGAGAAACAGGGGCTGCATGGTCAGCAACTTCTTCTCTCTGCTTACTCTTGCTGGAACCTTTCTCCAACTCAGAGGTATTTACTGTCTCCTCGTGCTGATACCATCCACAGACATTCATCTCTATGTGGCCTTGCAAAGCGCTCCAATTATAGAGTTTTTTGTTGCAGTGCTTGCATCGGCGGCATGCCGCCGATCGAGTGCTGTTCAGGCTTGTAATCAACTTGTACCCTATCTGCTTGAACTTGGCCATGTCTGAGTGCTTGGTGTTGGCGAAGAGCCTTCTTGGAAGGGTAGTAAAGACCACAAGTAGGACATGCATGTCGCTCGGCGCTCGGCACTAGTGGCTTCCACAATGTTAGCACTGGCTTGTTGAGATTCAGCTTTGAGGAGGCTAGCCCTGAGAGATTGCCAGAACTCAGTGATGCTCAATATGCCTGCACATCTGACCAAAGTTAGCAATCGTGCCATAAGAGAAAAGTTCCGGCTGCAGGACCCGGTTCAGACCCTCAGGGACAGAATTGACAAGAAACTAAGCAAACTTCATGACACCGATAGTGATCCAGCAATCAGAGGCCCGGCCACCGCGCGCAGTTGCCTGTGGAACCAAGCCCGAAGCTTGGCAATCATCCGACCATTGAGGTGTGTGGTAAGTAGGCCATACATTGCACTGCTGACCACGCAAGTGTGCCAGATTCTAACCCGATGGTGCTGAGACAATCCCTTGCGAGATCGAATACTTTTCCGCAGGCTAGCAGCTTTCGCTGTGGCCTCCGCGATACGAAATTCCAGAGTTTTGTCCGACCCCTCCTTCAAAGAAAGCATTTTGCCGAGGTAGGCGATGTCCTCGCGCATAGGGATAAGATGTTCCGTGTTTCCTTCTTTTAGCCTCCAATGTGGCTTGTTTTTAATCATGACAGTGCGTTTTTTCATCAGTTTACGCAACTGAGTACCCTGCACCCTGATAACCACGCTGGACTTTTCCGGATTCACCTTCATCCCATAGGATTCAAGGAGACTAAACAAACGAAGTATGAAGGACTCCATAGTCATGACATTTTCGATAGTCCGCAGCATCCAGTGGCCTAGGTGATCATCGGCGAAAAGGGTCAGCGGAAGCTGCATGGGAACTTGACCTGATGGTGTGAGTTCCCACAGGACCTGTGAGGAGAAAATGGCCCATAAGGCCGGCGCAAGGCGACAACCTTGGCGGATGCCTTGCGTGGTAACCACCGATGATTGTTGGAATCGGTCCCGGACTTTGTACGCCGCCTCTTCGTGTATGGCTGTGACGGTGGAGCGAAGATCCGCGTCCACCTGATGCCCCGGAGCGCAGCGTCAAGCTTGGCCCTGTTAACTCTGTCAAAGGCCTGGCTAAGGTCCACGGAGAGAAGGCAGCCTCCTGCCTCCGTAGCTTGCTGTCCTGATTCTTTGCGCTGCCTCGTAACAAATCGATTACCGCCCAGAGCCTTCATGCTGGATTTGATCCTGTCCACGCACTCATTGACCCTAGCCAGCGCGTCTGTCGTGTCTCTGGAGGGAAGATAGGCATATTGCGGAGACTGTGCCAAACTAGCTCGCGCCTGCTCCATGACCAAGGTTTTGATGTGTCCTGCCAGGGCTTTTCCGTCTGGTCTAATAAGCCCGATGGGACGTAGGGCAGACGCGGTGATAGGTGGCTTGTTAGGTTTGGGGATGAAACACAGTTGCGGGTCTCGCCATGCCCTAGGAAGCCTAGAAGAAACATGTTGCAGACTCTGCGCGATATCTGTCAGTGCTGGGGCTATGACTTCGGCACAGGCTTTCCATGCTGTGGCCGGCGCGGAGTCCGCAGGCACGGCCTTGCCGATAGGCGTGCATTTCAAGTGTGCCTGCCAATCTGCAGGTTGTATCGGCATGACAAGTGCCTGACCTGGTCGATTGGGTACTTCGACCTGTGGTGCAAAAAGCTGCGTGCAGTGCAAAACTAAAGCTCTATGCTCTTGCTGCAATGACATGGGTGCACCGTCAGCATGTTTCAGCATAATTCTGGGCCTATTCTTCCAGGGGAGGAGTTTCTTCACCGCAACATAGAGGCGTTTAGTATTATGTGACTGAGCGGCCTTTTCCGCTTGTTGCAGATATCCAAGTGTAGTCGCTGCTATTTTGGGTATAGGGTTAAATATGAGGTGCCGTATCACAATTCATACCCAAAATTCTTCCATCATTTTCAGAATAACCCAACTAGTACCTACCAGGACCCTTCTTGTACCCTTTAAATAGGGGTACGTGGTC